TTCTGAGAGAAGCAGCATGAGCAGGGGAGGATCAGAGAGAGAGGGAGACACAGAATCTGAAACAGGCACGAAGTTCTGAGCTAGCTGTCAGCACAGATCCCGACGCGGGGCTCGAACCCATGAACCACGAGATAATGACCTGAGCCGAAGTTGGACGCTTAACTGACTGAGCCATCCAGGCGCCCCGACATGTATTTCTTAAATAGTAAGACTTGAAAGTTAAAATTATTCCTTGGTCCATGGCCTGCAAAATGGGTGCTGCGTTGGCAGGCGCAAAAACAAGATCAATCTCCTGTACATCTCTGTTAGAGCTCTTGGGTGACCAGCTGCATTGTCCATGAGCAGTGAGTGATACTTTTGAAGAGAATGTTTTTCTGAGCAGTCTCAACAGTGGGCTTTAAATATTGAGTAAACCGTGTTGTAAACAGAGGTGCTGTCATCCAGGCTTCTTTCTGTTAGTGGAGCGCAGGCAGAGTAGATTTAGCAGAATTTTTTGAGGCCCTAGGACTTTCAGAATGGTGAATGAACATTGGCTTCAATTTCAAGTCACCTGCTGCATTAGCCCCTAACAGGAGAGTCAGCCTGTCCCCTGAAGAAGCTTAGAAGCCAGGCGTTGGCTGCTCCTCTCTGGCTCTGAGAACCCTAGATGGCGTCTGTGCCCAACGGAAGGCTGTTTCGTTGAGTGTGGCCATCTTCAGGAGTTAGCTTAGCTCCATCTTCTGGGTATCCTGCCTCAGCTTGTGCATGAGCACTTGACATTTCACCTTGCACGTTTATGTTATAGAGACGGCTTCTCTCCTTAAACCTCCTGCGTGCGTGCGAGCACACACGCACGCACACACACACCAGCTTCAGACTTTCCTTCTGCAGCGTCCTCACCTTTCAGCCTTCGCAGAACTGAAGAGCATTAGGGTCTTGGCTCTGGATTAGCCTTTGGCTTCAGGGAACGTTGGGGCTGGTTTGCCCTTCGGTCCAGACCACTAATCCTTTCTCCACATCAGCAATAAGGCTTCACTGGACTACCACTTTTCCTTTCCTTCGAGAACTTTTCCTTTGCCTTCACAACTGGCCAGCTGGTGCAAGAGGCCAAGCTTTCAGCCTTCCTTACTACGCTTAATTGTTTCTAGCTTAATTTCAGGTGAGAGATGTGCGACTCTTCCTTTCCCTTCAACACTTAGAGGCTAGAGGCCGTCGTAGGGTTATTACTTGGTCTGATTTTAATATTGTGTCTCAGGGAAGGGGGAGGCCTGAGGAGAGGGAGAAAGGTGGGGGAAACAGCTGGTTGGTGAAGCAGTCGGGACACCTGGCATTTACCAGTTACATTCACGCTCTTACATGGGTTTTGTGAACGAAGTCTATGGTTTGTTTGATCTCATTTTTCACTTTATTGCATTCCTTTAAAAACCATTCGGAATAAATGGTCAAAGAACTTTTCCCGAAGATTATCTGGAAGGTAAGCTGTGAGCCATGCACATTTGAAAGAGCCTTTATTTTTCCCATGCACCTGTTCAGTAATTTGAGTGTAGGATTCTAGTTTCAAAAGTCTTCCCTCAGAATTTTTAGAGCATTGCTCTGTGATCATCTGGCATTGAGTTACTAATGTGAAGTTTGATCTTGATCTGGGTCTTGTTCCTTTGTGACACGTGGTTTTTCTTTTCGAAAGTTGTAGCGTTTATTTCTTTGTGTAGTTGTGAAGTTTCTCAAGTGTGGATTGCTCTGAAGGTACTTCTTTACTTTCCGTGCATATTAGCACTTGGCTTATGCCCTTTCAGAGCGAGGGCTTTTGTTTTCCTCAAATCCGAGAAGTTTTTTTTTTTTTTTTTAAATATTTTTATTTATTTCTAGGAGAGAGAGAGACAGCATGAGCAGGGGAGGGTCAGAGAGAGAGGGAGACACAGACTCAGAAACAGGCTCCAGGCTCCGAGCTGGCAGTCAGCACAGAGCCCGACGCGGGGCTCGAACCCACGAACCGCGAGATCATGACCTAAGCGAAAGTCGGACGCTTAAGCGACTAAGCCACCCAGGCGCCCCAAGAATAACAGCTTTAAAACTTCTCGGATTTGGGGGCGCCTGGGTGGCTTAGTCGCTTAAGCGTCCGACTTTCACTTAGGTCATGATCTCGCGGTTCGTGGGTTCGAGCCCCGCGTCGGGCTCTGTGCTGACAGCCAGCTCGGAGCCTGGAGCCTGTTTCTGAGTCTGTGTCTCCCTCTCTCTCTGACCCTCCCCTGCTCATGCTGTCTCTCTCTCTCCTAGAAATAAATAAATACATAAATAAATAACATTAAAAAAAAAGCTGTTATTCTTTTTCCCTTTTCTGTACCTTGTTTCTGTTCTCTCTTTTTAATGGCCTATTGGGTGGAGGTTGACCTCCAATATTGAACTTGGTTTTCTTTCATCGATTAAAAAAAAAAACTTGGGGTGCCTGGGTGGCTCAGTCGATTGAGCATCCGACTCTTGATTTCGGCTCAGGTCATGATCTCGGGGTTGTGGGATCGAGCCCTGTGTTGGGCTCCGTGCTGAACGTGGAGCCTGCTTAAGATTCTCTCTGCCCCTCTCCCGTATTTGCATGCTCTGTCTCTAAAAGAAAATCTTTCCTTCTTGTTAATTGTTTTTTTCTTTTACTTTCCAAAAACCCCTTCTTCTTCTCCAACAGTCCCTTCTTTATGGGAACTGTTATTTTTTTTTTTCTGCCACATTACCTTTTAAATATCTTTGGATACTAAGTTGAACCTTCAGACATTGTCTTCTGTTCTCTGAATCACCTCATTTGTTTCCTCTGAGGTCAGTTGGTCTCTTTTGGGGAGATGTTCTTTGGTTTTCCTCAAAGCTCTGGTGATCTTTATTAGTCCCTCTGTACTTACAAAAGAGTGAATAGGTTGATTTGTAAAGTAAATGGCGGGCATGGCTTTTCTGATCTTGTTAATGTGAGGATGGTTCTCCTACAGACCTCTCCCCCGAATGGGAAGGACCAGTAGGGAGCCAGGTCCGAAGGTGTATCTGTCCAGTGACAGCTTCATTTTAGGGTTTGTGGGTGGGGAGCAGGGAGCCGGCAGTCTGGCCCTCCCTGCCCCCCCCCAGGTCCCACCTGTCCCGAAGACAGTACAAGAGGGCCCTGGTTCTGAGGTGTTCACACCACACAGGGAGCTCTCCCATTTTGCTTTTCTACCTATGGCCTAGTCTTTCTGTGTGTGCAGAGTCCGAGAGCGAGGGGTGGGGGATTGGGTCTGGCTGCGCTGTATGTTGTGAATCTCCCCGAGTACCGCCCCCCAGTACCACCCCCCCCCAAGTACCGCCCACCACCGCCTCGCGGATGGACCTGAAGCTTCCAGCCTCCGGACGCTACACCGGGAACAGCTGGCAAGATGCGGCCTCTGCCTGCTTGTGTTCGGGACTGTGGTTTCCTGTGGTTCTTCCCCAGATGATGACATCACTTTCCCTCTTCCAGAAGCCAGTCTGCTCTCTTATTCTCCGTGATGTGCGAATGAACCTCTTTTTTGCCAAGCGCCTTTACTGATATTTTATTTTATTTTATTTTATTTTTTTATTTTTATTTTTTTTCCTTTACTGATATTTTAATGGTATTTGGGAGGGAAGAGAGTTAAGCCTGTGAGCTGATCGTTATTCTTGAACCAGAAGACAATCAGGGATACTGTGGACATTTAAGTTTTATAATGTTTTATATAGTCCATTGTTCTTCAAGGTCTTAATCGAATATATATTTTTACCAACTCAGGCTAGTTGTTAAAGCAATAGTAAGTTAGAGGTTGTTGGGAGGAGGCTGTTTCTAGTAGAAGTTAAAGCTGATGATAAATTGTCAGCAAACATGACCGCTAAAACCAGAGTTTTCTATATAACCCATGTTACCCGAACAGCTCCCCAAAGCAACACCATGTTTGTTACAGGATGATAATAGGAGGTCAAAAGAGTGACCTTGAGATTGAATAATGGTCTGTTTAACAGCAAGGAAGTTTAGGGGCTCCTGGGGGGCTCAGTCGGTTAGGCGTCTGACTTTAGCTCAGGTCATGAACTTGCAGTCTGTGGGTTAGAGCCCAGCGTTGGGCTCTGTGCTGACAGCTCAGAGCCTGGAGCCTGCTTCGGATTCTGTGTCTTCCTTTATCGCCGCCCCTCCCCCGTTCATACTCTCTCTCTCAAAGATAAACAGTAAAACAAAATTTTTTAAAAGAGCAAGGAAGGGGTGCCTGGGTGGCTCAGTCAGTTAAGTGTCCGACTTCGGCTCAGGTCCTGATTTCACGGTTTGTGGGTTCGAGGCCCACGTCGGGCTCTGTGCTGACTGCCAGCTCAGAGCCTGGAGCCTGCTTCGGATTCTGTGTCTCCCTCTCTCACCGCCCCTCCCCCACTCGTGTTCACTTGCTCTCTCTCAAAGATAAACACTAAAAAAAATATTTTTTTAAAGGGCAAGGAAGTTTATAGCTTCAGATTTCCAAAATGTATGATGAAAAATAAGATTTAGATATTTTGAAGGGACACATTTCAATGTCCTAGATAATTAGAAATGTGGAATGTTGAACACATGGAGTCAGGCTTCATCCGTGTTTATGTTCTTACAGTATGCCAGGCTTCGAGCTAAGTGCTTTTTCACGCAGTTCATTTAATTTTTCGAAATTGTTGATACATGTATAACACCGTTCATCTTATCTCATACAATGTGGCTAGATTGAATTAAGTCTTGATGGGGTGTGTCTGGCCCGTAAAGAAGGTGCTGTGCCCTAAAGTCCCACTTCATTAAGAGATTCCGCCCTGACATATCTGATACAGGTGGCAGTCAGGGCAGCCATTACCCTCCCTGTTCAGGAATGAAGAGATTAGGTGTCTGCAAGACCAAGCGAGTAGACTGTGGTCACACAGCTCAGATGTCATAGAACCAGTTCTAGAACACAGATCACTGTGTCTGTCGAGGGTTCCCATGTGGTTGGACCCCGGGGCACTAGTATTCTTTCACACCCTCTGACCTCTAATGATAGGTGGGTGTTTATTCTCAGGTGCCCCTTGGCTTCGGCGTGGCGGCCAGCGTCCGAGTGGGCAACGCTCTGGGGGCAGGGAATGCCAAGCAGGCCCGGGACTCCAGCATCACGGTCCTCCTGTGTGCGGGTGAGTTACAGCAGGTCTGCCCTCGGGCGTCCGTGCCGACTTGTGTCTGGTGACTTACTCGTATCCCGGCTTCTCTAGGGAATTGATTTCTCTCTGTGGCCTCAACTAGAATATTCTTTAAGCCCTTTCCAGTTCGCCCCGCTAAATAAAACTTGTCATTGTGACTTTCCGTTACTGGGTACCAATGAGATGGCGCGCTTGGTACTACTGAGAAATTTTCAGACCGTTATCACACGCAGGCTGGTTTTCTGACCAAAGCCTGTGGGACTGACGCTCCGTGTCCCTGGGCCACGCCGCCTCTTCCGGCAGTTTTGATGGTGTGGAATCTGCGCAGTTAGAGAAGATTCTACTTGTAGTGACGTGTCACTGAGCATCTTTTCCCTGCGTCTGCCTTAGAAGGAATCAGAATGAGGACGTCCTTGCTCTTTTCGACAGACAGTAATAAGAAACACTTAGAGTTAGTACATTTTTGGAGTCGTTGACGCCAGTGTCCCCGGGGACTTCAGTGCCACGATTTTTTTTTTTTTTTTAACGTTTTTTTTTTTTTTTTTTTTTTTTTTTTTTT